CTGAACCTCAAATACATCCCCTACGAGGGACAGGAAAGAAAAAAATTAGAAAGTGTGTTAGCAAATGCTCCCATGCAAAAGTCTGAACTTTATTCACTTTTATTTATATATTTAACAATTCTAAAGTATTTACTTCTTGCTTTGACAAAAATGAAAAATATAGGAGCACTTTACTCTCTTTAGGAGAGAAGGGTTATATATACAGCTATGGAGAGATACTGGTTCCTCCTTTACATACAAAGAAAAATAATATTAATAAAAAAAGTGCTTCATCGATCAAAAAAAGACTAAGAGCTGCAAGCATTTATTCACACTGTACATCACAGAGCCCCAAAACCCGTATCGTAACCTCTTGGCACCTGTCGTTAGGAACTGCAGAATCTTAGACTTATTTTTGACTCTCTGTTTGCACCACAAACCCACGCAACGTTAGTGTGCACAACTACTCCATGTCCCCTAAAGTCAAACCTCGCGCTGCCCGCTCCGTGGAAGAGCCCGAGACGGGAGCCGCCTACGATCCTTTTCCCGCTCCAGCTGTCTCTGCTTCACAGGGAACAGCAACGCCTACGGTTCCAGTCCAGACATTCGCTGCACTCGCTTAGGAACAAATACTTCTATAGATACAACTCGACTGGAGAACCCATCTTTTCTTCGCTCTTCCCTCCTGATGGTTTGAAAAACATTTCAGAACCCGTACCGGGGAGATCCCAAGGTGCTTCGTTACCAGCCCCCCTTCCCGTAAGGACACAGGCTGCTACGCTAAACCAGCCTCCCGGACATTCATTTTTGTCTTGTGAATCTTCAGCTTACACCGCAGCAGCGTAACGATCCTTGCAAAGGGTGTGGGAAGTTCAAAGTGAAAAATAAAATACCTTGACATTTCTTTTCCCCATCAGACCTAACAAATATTCTGAGGTGGTTTTCTCTGTGTGATACTCGCTCTGGATGACGCAATTCTGACATTCCAGGGAAGGGAAGCACTCCTTTCCCAAGCTCTCTTCGATTTTGAGCTTTTTGTATCTAAAACTCTCAAATACTCCAGCAGGATTTTTTGTTCTTGAGAATATCACAAGAGAAGTCGTAACTTTGTCTAGGCAATGCATTGGGAAGCAGGATCTACATTTCTTCCTCGCCAAATTGCACGAAGCAGGCTCTATCAAAAGGAAAAGGGCATGAGTACCTAACACCCATTTAAAAACATATATTCAAGACATTCACACTTTAATGAGGTGACTTTAAAAGCGACTCAGATTGGGACAGAAGGGAGAAGGGGAATCCATGATGTATTTCAGGTCTTAATATAATCCTCAGGCAGGTTTTTCCTATCTGGAGCATACCGAATACCGACTGAAAGAGGAGGAGACATCCCAGGAGTACTGCAAGCACCAGTGCACTCCTCGTGGACCGAGCCCAGCGAAAACCCCAGCGTATCACAGTCGCTCTTGCGTTGTTTTGGATCGTCTCATTAAAGCGCGAGTCTGAACAACAGCACGACAGCCTGTTGGTATGAACCACGACAAGTGCTCTGCTCCAAAAGTAGCTTCGCATCAAGTAAACCATCCTACGATGGGGCAAGGATAGAAGTCGAAGGTCTTCTACTTTCCCACTCGGTTTTAAATAACGAATTGCATTTACAGAACTTCAGAGAGAGGCGCCAGTGTCAGACCCACCTCAGCCGGGCAGCCTGCTCAATCCCCTTCCCACCTCTCGCGAACAAGCACGCACTTTCTTTAGCCAGCGCTGCCCGGGTGTTTCCGCTCCGAGCCACGGCGGCAGGGCTGATGGCAACAAAACGCATCGATTGTGTGTGCAAGTCCAGAGCTGCTGAGTATGGAAATCCGTGACCGATTCCCCCTTCACGCAGTGAGGATAACTAAGCCCGCTCTAAGAACAGAGAGGGAGAGTGCTCTCTTGGGAAAGAGATTCCCATTTCTTCTAGCAGCAACAGGTTCCCAAACAGCAGTTTCTTGTTTGGAAGTAACGGGAGTGATTGAAAGCACTAGCACTGACGCTACAGGTATTCACACTTTGCACGCTGGCTGGACTGATTCCCCTCTTCTCCTTTCCTCCACAAAATCGTCTGTCTGCAACACAGTTCAGCAGTGGGACAGTTAAATACAAAAGGGAAATCTGGTTCTGGTGCCAGCTCCCTTCCCACTCCCACAATCTTCCAGCAAACAAACATATATATATATATTATTATATATACACACGCACGCGCGTAAACACATACACACAGATAGGACAGAAAGGAAAGGGGGAAGAGCTGGAACAGGAGAATCCCACAATCCAGCAGTACGTCCTCGAGGTCTCTCCCGCCGAGCAGTGTTCCATGCCCCAACCTCCAAAGTGCATGGCTCCCGCATCCTCCCAGCCTCCGCCCACCGAGAATCTCTGTCCGTTGGGGAAGAGTCGGCACGGCTGCTCCCCCGCAGCGCTGAGGCTGGGACTTTAATTTGACGTGGCAGTGATGGGTTTATCCAGTTCGAGGTCAAGGCTGGAGCTGCTGGGGTGCAAGCTGCTGTAGCACGATTTGCAGACTCTGCTGGGTTCAAAGAGCTGCTGACTGGGAACGGGCACCTTCTGGTTACAGCAACTGGAGCAGAACACATTTCCACAATTCCTTGCATCAGGAACAGAGAAAAAATGGAAAAGAAATGATTAGAAGCAGTTTGACAGAGTTACCCAAGTTCTAAAATTATACTGTTCGCAGTGGTGTGATGGGGTCAGCCCTGGAGACTGTGGTTGCTCCTCCCCAAGTACCAGGATGCACGCAAAGACAACCTTCCGCGTCTAAAACTGAAGCGGAGCTTTAGGGAACGGAGACCCGAAGGGAGCACAAAGCAAATTACAGTACAAAATTACAGCTCATTACAACAACTCTACAGGGACGGCTCTTTCGTACAACGCTGGCTCGCCTCAGACTGGAGGGAACTTCCAGCTCTCTCCCCTGCCCCGCTGCGGAGCTCGGGCACGGTGCTACTCATCACTGCCACTGCTATGCTGGGGGCACACGGCTAAGAGAGGGGCTAAGGGAGAGCAAACCAGTTTTGCGTTAAGAGACAGACTGGATACTGCAGTCCTGGGAGGAGGTGGGAGTCTCTGCTCCTTTACTCTTCTAAAAGTGCGTGCTGGTAAGTGCCAGCACAGAGACATTTTCTTCTGGTTCCTTTCAAGTGCGCTGCTGGAAAGTTTAAGCATGGGACAGATGAAAAAAAAAAATAATTAAAAACCAGTTTTGGTTGATGCAATCCTCCCATTGCCCCAGCAGCGCAGTCCCTTTTGCGGCGTTCCCGGCAGTCCCACGCTTCTGCATAAAGTAAACTGAGTCAACAAGGATCATGCAAAGCCATGAGATGGGCAGCCAGGTATTTCATGCTCAGAAATGGCAGTAACGCTGCGGCAGGGTGAGCAGTCTCACACGCGTTCTTGTCAGATGTCAGCTGGTGGAGGCACGCTGGCACATGCACCTCATGGGAGGCAGGGATAAAATTTAAATCTGGAAAATAATTACGTTCTCTTCTCGCAGCCCCCCTCAAAACCTGCTGCTGCTCAAGCTAGCCTGGTGAGCACCGCAGTGCCCTGTCCTCCACGCTCATCAATTCTTACAAGGAGCTCAGAACAGCACTCCAGGGACCTGAATTTTGCAAGTTTACCTCCATGCCTGACGCCCTTTTCATTAACTCTTTGGCATCAGGATTTTGTGCCGTTATTCTTTTGTGCTAGAAGAGATTTACTGCTGCCAAGAGACTGACAGAGAATTCTGCCTACACCCAGCGGCTTTGATTAATCCTTCCTTGCCAAGAGACAAGATTTCCAGATGCTGGTCACTGACGGGGAAAGAGGCAGCAGAGAAATCCTATTTCTCACTTCAGTGGGCTAATTTTCTCAGCTCCGCACAGCGGCTCCTGGTCTCAAAGCTGTAACCCTAGCACTAGCGGGCTGACAACGGCTAGCCTTTCTGCAGCCGCTTTGAAGTCGTCTTAAGGACCCTGTTAGAAATCACTATCGGAAAAAACAGCAGGAGTAAAAACAGTCCCGTGAGGCGTCACACAGAAACGGCCTGCAGAAAAGCAGTTCCGACAGCCCACATCTCTGCTGCTCAAAGAACGATTATCCAGCAGAAGCTTGCTGTTGACAGATGAGGTCAAAAAAGAACCAGAGGGATTAAAACAAGGATCTGTTTGTTGTAGCTCGCCAGCTTCCTAACATATGTTGGGGTTTTTCTGCTGTTTTATCCTTCTGTGATAGAGAATAGCGTTCTGTAACTGTTCTCCCCCGAGCTTCGGAAAGCTCTGGACAACTCATTCTTTCTATCCTGGTGGTCCTCTGCTTCGCTTGAGAGATTAAAAAGAGACACTGGAAAAGCCATCTCACTCCTTAGAGGAATGGGGACTTAAAATCATGCTACCGACACCTCCTCTGCTTGCTAAATCATAGATGTTTACCCGTTTTTTTGGTGATACTAACCCTCCACCAGCTCTGCATTACCCGTTACTGCCACAGTATTTTCAGTCCTTCTAAAATAAGTGGCAGGTTTTTTGTCAGCACACTGCACAGCAATAGTAGAATCGTTGGATAACATGTGGACCTCTCCCAAAAATAAAGCAAAAAGGGAAAATAAAAAATAAACGCGTATGGCTAAACTTGAAGGACAGTCTCTTCTCAGTTAGAAGTGAAGCATACTCTGTTACTCAAACACACGACTTAACTGATGGTGAGCGTTAGTGTGATCCACGTCCCAGTTTAAGCTACCAAAAGCCAAGTCCTACGTGCCTTTCTGTGAAAAAGAGAGGCCTGTTTATACAGATCTAAACATCCAACAGATTGTGCTAGCCACCCACAGCTTATTTCTAGTGATTTCTAGGCAAGTGAAAAACAAAGAGGGGGAAGAGACTGAGTTAGTTTGGAGCAGTTACCAAGAAAACACAGACAGACAACAGACAGAGGCTGTTGTAAATGCTCACCAGATTTGATCAACACGTTCAATGTCCCTGCAAGGAGGGGAGAAAGAGCTCAGAGGGGAACTAGCAAAAGAAGCAAATAGTGGCAATGAAAGAAGCTGGATATTTTTATCCGGCTCAAGGTCTTACAGCGTATGGGTTTCAACTCATTTTCACTCTCAGGTAAGATGTCGAGCAGACTGCCACTGAGTTTTTTGAAAAGGTATACTATGGAAATACTTGGTTTTCTCATTGGTTGCTGTTCCTTATTGGTCTCTACCATAAACAACCAGAGCTTATGTGGACAGCCTGGTCGACCCAGGTTAGAAACAAAGACACTAAAGGGAAATTTGCAACCAAACTTGAAACCCTGAGTCAATTTTAACTCCTCGTGGTGCGGGGGGTGTCCTGTGTGTATCCACGCGCTAGGAGTTCTCCAGAGCCCGGGCCTAGGAAACTGAAATGTCGATGCCAAGTGTCAGTCAGCCTAGGGAGGCCGTGCTGAATGGGTACGCTTCGCAACAGATACCGCTAGGAGAAGGACAAAGGCAAGCACCATTTTAACTCTTATAAAACCCTTCAGGTGTGTACAACTGTATGCTTAGTAATTATATTTTTCATCTGAAGCCTTAAGACATACCAATTTGCACAAACACAGTGGACATGAAAAAAAATCAAAGCCATTCAACTTCTATTCATTCTTCCCTGGGTTTGTTTATCTTTACAAGAAGACCAAACGGAACAAAATACAAAATGTACACAAACCAAGAAAGAAGTTTATAATTCTCCACAACTTCAAAAAGCAACGAAGCATCAAAATGTGATAACTGCCATTTGTTTATGTGGCAGTCCCTGTAATCGTTTCCTCATGTCCAGAAATCAGGAATAGGGATTTCTTCAAAATATAACTTAGAAATCTGAGATTCTCGGTCTTTAACTGGAGTATGATCTAATCAAAAGGCCTCTGCCACCTGTTCTTCATTAAGCCCCTGCTGCCTGCATTATCTGCTGTAGCCTCTGCTGGCAACATGTTTGGCAAAGAATAATCCAGAAAACTTTTATTTCACGTAAATGCCCTTTTCAGATTCTTACAAGAGCAATTTAATGAAAAGGGAAGAATGGTTAGGGAAGGAAAGGAGCAGGTTTACAACCAGTAATGGGAACAAGATGCTATTCATATATTTGAGGTATTGAATTACTGAATGCTAAGATGACAAACCAGTATTTCTTATTATTTACATCCTCTTAAAAAGCTAAACAGCCAGCTGCCTCTAAATCCAGTTTGAGGAAAAAAGGCGGGATCTGTTTAGGCTGGGGTAGAGCAGATACCAAATCTGGCTTTTTAAATATATACTCTGCATGAACTGGAACCGAACAAGAGAAACTGTTCCGTTCTTCCAAAGCTCTCCGTTCCTTCAGGAGCGTGCATAATCCTACTTTAAAACACTTGGTCTGACATCCGTTCTTGAGAAAGGAACTACGTGTCAAAAGAACCCTTTCCTGGTTTAACAGGAGAGGGAACAATTCAAGGCGCGGCCATGCCTCCCTCCCTCCTGTCCTCTGTCGATGCACGGGTTACCTGCAGTGGTGCTTCCTGCTGGCAAGCCAGAACGTGCTGTCACAGCCATAGCAGTGCGCAGCGAGGTGGTCTGGAAGCCATCGCGTCACCTGGGAGAAATAAAAGCCACATTTATCAAGGAGAGGGCAATTAGAAACAAACCCATCTGATTCACGCTCACAAATTCAAAGCGAAGCACCACGAGGGAAGCGCTTGTTCTATTTTAAGAGCGCAAATTCAGTGTTTGCAACAATTGAAGGCAGACGACAGAAACCTTCCCTTTGAGAACAGAGACACTAAATTCCCCTCCGACAAACAGAAATTAAGTCATAAAGTCCAATTCCCTGGGGTTTTTTTGTGCTTTAAAAGTATTCAGGCCAAGAATATTCACCAAGCACGTGTCCGCCTAAGGCTCCTTTAGCTAACCATCCCTTCCACAGCTTCTCACAGACAGCAGAGGGCTCATAGGCACAGGTACTGATATTTAAAGTACGAGAGACAAGTGAAATGCAAGCAAGATAGTTCTCAAGAAGTGGCACGTGACCAAAAGCTGTAGGATAATTTGAATTATGAATATCCCATCCTACCGGAAGAATGAGCGATTTACAGGGATTTAGTCTGTACCTCTGTGTCCTGTTTATCCACCTGTTCCCAGCTGGCTTCAGAGAAAATCTCTGTGCTGCAGCGAGACAAGCAGTTCTGATCCAGATTGCTTTCCGAGTCGGGTATAGAAGTCTGTTGGCAAACAAACACAGCTGAACAGAACCTTCCCATATTCCTACTTCCATACAAATAAAAAGCGGGCAGCCGTGGGGAGGAGTGAAAAGGGTACCTCCTGTAAGAAAGAGCAGGCTGTGGCTGCACTGGAAGGGAAAACGTCACCACCAGTCGCCTACCGACAGCACGCACGTGGCAGCAAAGGCGAGAGTGCCTTTTTGAATGGGACTATAAATGCCACACGTTGAAGCAGTTTGTGTGGCGGTGACTTGCAAAAAAAAAGAAAAAAAAAAAGGCAAAAACCCCCCAACAGGCCAGTTTTTGACCCTCTGACGACAGGATGATGTGAGGTAGAACGGATTTAAAAATCTCTTTTCTGCTGCGTTAGCACAAAGTTCTGGCAACACTTCGGGCGATTAACCATAAAAGCTGCTAGCTGTGGCTCCAATGTCATGGTCGCATTTCCTTTCCAAGGTTGTTTCACTTTCAAAACTAATACCAGTAACACGTATATCCTTTTGTCGGCAAAAATTCTGGAGAATACAAGCCAAATCACACATGGGAAACTCAGAATTTGAGCCATATATGTTCCATATATAGGTTTTTTGGGAATAATGTTTCCTTAATATAGTCTGGCCAGGTAGAGTTGTATTTTAACTGATTTAAAACTCAGCCAGCCCTTAAAATACATTAAAAATTGCAAGAAATCTTGAGTTAGTGTCTTTTTATGCCTGAGGAATGGGCACCTCTGGAGCTCCCGAAGAAAACCTGTTACTCCCAAGCTGAAGAGGTGCAAGTACAAGTAGAAGGTAGCAATCAGATTTTTAAAACTGGTGAATTTTCTAGAGGATGGCGTGCTCTCGCATCCAGCCCTACGCTGCAGTTTGTGAAGGCCCTTAAAAAATGGGAGCATAGTAAATTAAGCCAAATCACCAACTTTCTCCAAGGAATCCAAGCTTTTGCCAGTGACAGAAGCCACACGCAACTGAAACGGATGCCCAAAAGGAGCCCTTAGTGCTGTTATCACCAATGGGAATAGCCAAGGCGGCTCTGAGTATTTTTCACAACAAATGTACCTGGGACTATCCAGCACCTCTGCCACTTCTAAACAATATTAAACAAACATCCCCCCCCCAATTTTGCAGGCATATAAAACGCATTACAATGTGTAGGTAGGAAAATGAAATTTTTGATGGGTGCTATGTCAACCTCAGGAACTGCAGGCCAACGTTCTGCCCGGTGTTCAAACCCACAGGACGATACAAGCTCTGTTTCAGGGATTCTACGTCTCCTCACCTTCCCCTTCATGCCCCTTTCCTCCTCCCGTGCCTACCTGCTTTCCCAAGCAGCTCTCCCCTCTTCATGTCTTTTATTTAACTAATAATACTGGGCCTTTGAAAAACCAAGTTTTGCAGCAATCCGCAGAAGTGCTGTGTGCTCGAAGGCCTCTACAGAACAGGACTCCTGCTTGTTCTCTGAATCAGTGCTACCTTCCAGCAACAGTACAAGGCCAGTGGCTCTATTTCTTCTGACTTATTATTATTATTTGTTAGTTAAGAGAAGAGGAGAAATTAGGCAAAAAACAGGTAGGGGAGAAGCAACTTAAAAATCCACCCAAGACCTACAGAGACATTGCTAGCTATTGAGATCCTGAACTTGGAATTACACTTATTTCTGATTTTAAAATGTCTTTTGCAACCACAACTACACAGACCATTTAATCGCTACAGAAATTACTGTACTGTATTTGAATCACGCCTCAAATGTTAAGTCTCTACTTTTACGACTTTAAACACTTCCACGTAAAAGCACAGTTTAAAAGCTCCCCTAAAATTCTTAATTTGTTGAGAAAAAACCCTCACTGACATGAGGCTGTCACAAAAGCTCTTAATTTATTCCAGCGACTAAGCCTTGAGCTGGCCAGCCATCTGAAAAGGGGATGGCTGGAAGTTCATGGTTTTGAGCTAACCGAGCAGCCACTGCTGCATCTTTCTTACCCCAAGCATGCAAAGCACCAAGAGATCAGTCCTACGCTCCTTCGAAAAATATCTTTGACCATATATGAAAACAACAGTAAAACAAATGGTTGTTTTGTTTTGTTTTTTAAAAAGGCCAATAAAGATGTTTAAGTATGTCCAGGTCTGTGCGAGTACGCTGTGAAACACCCATCTTGAAATAAACCTTTGCTACATTTATGGTCAAACTGAAATACAGTGAAAATACTAATCATCATTCATGGCCATTTGCCATGTACTCAGTCATTTGCCCTCTTCAGAATGACCTTGAGAGCTTTATAAAAGCCTGTAAGGCCAAAAAATCACTACCTGACCAATGAATCAAGAGCCGACAATATGGAGAGATCCAGAAAGCAACTAACTAGCCCGCTGTTTCCAGCAGTGGCTCAATGACCATTTCACTTACCACTTCGTCTCCATAATCACCATTGAGACGTAAGGAGCTGTTCAGGAACTGGCTCTCCAACCGGCTCTTCAACTCTTGCACTTGCTTCTTCAAGGTCTCCACTTCTTGCTGATGGCCAGTTTCTATCTGGCGCAGGCGCTGCTGGATAACGTCAGTGTAGACAGGCATCCCATCGTCATCCAGGTGACTTCTGGCAGGTTGCTCTGGGCTGCTGGCTGCCTGCTGCTTACCAAGATGACTAAACATCCATTTTTGGTGCAAGTTCCTCAAGTGAAACTGTGCAGAACTACAGCTAGCTGTGGAGACCTGCCGACTCAGAGAGGCTTTGATCCGACCGTCCTCTCCATTCACACAGTGTCCGTTTGTCGCGTGGTATTTCTGGGTGATACTAAACCCCTCAGGCTTCTCTGTCATCTTATTCTCAGGCTCCAGCTCTCCATTACACACCACCTCATCTTTACATTCAGCTAAAGGCAAGGCACAAGGGGAAGGCATCGGGATGTGTGTGTTGCTGCTACCAGAAGTCCTATGTACTTTTGTTCCCAGTTTTTGAAGTTCTAGCACGCTCTCCCCCTCTGGCCTATTTTCAATAGTTCGAGAAAGTTCGTCAGCACTGTTGTCGATCAGGTGAGGTCTATGGCAAGGACCCTTAGGAACAAGCTCTTGCTTTGCTTCATTCTCTGTTAAGGTTTCCGTAGAACTTTCAATGTTGGATGTTCTTGCCTCATGCGCGATCGTAAGAGGTAACGGAAGGCTGGCCTGCGCTGTATCGTACAGGCTCTCTGCTTCTCCCTCAAGTTTGCTAACGCTTTCTTCCTCCATGTTCTTTTGAGTGTCTCTATTTACAAAGCCCTCCAAAGGAACAGCCTGTAGTCCTCTCACCTGAGGTAACTTCTGGATAGCGTTACTGAGATCAGCATGCTCATCCTGTTGTCCTTTCAGCTCAGAAGCACCTTGTGAAACGGGATGTGGATTGGATGCTGGATTGTTCATTACAATACCTTTATCCGCCTTGGCCTTTTCACCGACATCACTGACATACCCATGTAGATTGTCGCTTCTCTTCTCCTTGTCCAGGGCAATCTCATCCCCTTTCCCTA